TACTCTCATTACAACTGAATCAAATGAATCTATGAATCCTCCTTTTACTGAACCTATCTCACAGCCTAATCTCAATGTCACTGAATCTGTTCACCCTACCTCACTTCCTCTAACTTCTTTATCCTCTCCTGTTAATCTTAGGAAATCTACCAGGATAAGACATCCTCCTACATGGATGACTGACTTTGTTGTTCCCTCTTCTGCCAATCAATGTGCTTATCCTATTTCATCCTTTGTCACATACTCTAATATATCCAAGTCCTATCATCATGCTTTGTCAGTTTAGTCTTCTATTACAGAATCTGGTTCTTTTCAACAGGCTTCCAAGGATCCAGAGTGGGTTCATGCCATGAAATTGGAAATTGCTGCTTTAGAATCCAATCAGACATGGTCTATTGTTGATCTTCCAAGTGGTAAAAGACCTATTGGTTGTAGATGGGTATATAAAGTTAAGTACAAAGCTTCTGGAGAGGTGGAAAGATATAAAGCCAGGCTAGTTGCCAAGGGCTATATTCAACAAGCTGGGATGGATTACTTTGAGACTTTTTCTCCAGTTGCAAAAATGGTGACTGTCAGATCTCTGATTGCTCTTGCAGCCTCCAATATGTGGTGTATCTATCAAATGGATGTACATAATGCCTTTCTAAATGGTGATTTACTAGAGGAAGTATATATGACTATTCCTGAAGGGTTTGCTAGACAGGGGGAGTCTCACAAGGTCTGCAAACTTCATAAGTCTTTATATGGGTTGAAACAAGCTCCAAGGTAGTGGAACAAAAAATTGACTGATGCTCTTATTCAAATGGGATTTCGACAAAGTCATTATGATTATTCCTTGTTCATTAAAAGGACAGGAAAAGAGTTGGTGATAATTCTGGTATATGTGGATGATTTGATAGTAACTGGAAATATTCAGATATTGATAAACAAAGCAAGAGAGGATTTACAGCATAGTTTCAGATGAAAGATCTTGGAGAACTTAAATTCTTTTTGGGAATTGAAGTAGCCAGATCAAATGAAGGAATTGTAATGTGTCAGAAAAAATATGCATTAGAATTGGTTGCTGAAAATGGAATGAGTGGAGCAAAACCAGCAAGTACACCATTTGAGATAAATCAAAAGCTAACTTCTACAGAATATGATAAACATGTATCAAGCAAAGCTGAAATTAGTGATGGAATATTGGAAAATCATGCATCATATCAAAGACTAGTGGGAAAACTTCTGTAATACCTAATATTGCATTTATAGTACAGGTCTTAAGCCAATATATGCATTGTCCAAAAAGATCTCACATGGAAGCTGCTCTAAGAGTAGTGAGATACATCAAGGGGACACCAGGAATGGGACTGATGATGCCTGCTGGTACTACAAATCAACTTATGGCCTATTGTGATTCAGACTGGGGAGCATGCTTGGAAACAAGAAGGTCTGTCACAGGGTATTTAGTTAAGTTAGGTGGAGTAGTGATTTCCTGGAAATCTAAGAAGCAAGAAACTGTGTCTAGAAGTTCTGCTGAGGCAGAATTCAGAAGTATGGCAGCTTGCATTGCAGAACTTACTTGGTTGGTAGGATTGTTCCGTGAACTTGGAGTTCAAGTTCAACAACCTATAACCTTAAGATGTGATAGTAAGGCAACTATTCAAATAGCTGCAAATCCCATATTTCATGAAAGAACCAAACATATTGACATTGATTGTCACTTTGTAAGAGAAAGGGTTAGCAAAGGGATGATTGAAACTGATCATGTGTCTACTAAAGAACAATTGGCAGATATACTTGCCAAAGGACTAGGAAGAGCTCAACATGAATATTTGCTAAGGAAGATAGGCCTAAAAGATATATTCAAGCCATCAGCTTGAGGGGGAGTGTTGAACTAAAGGAGCAAGCTGATATAGTTGTAGTTGAGTTAGGCTTAACTAAGTTTGTTAGAAAGCAGTGAACAAGTTAGTTATGCAGTTACATATATTGTTAGAGAATCTTCTAGAAGGTGTGCTGTAAAACTTGTATATATATCTCATATCATGTAACTTGTATGATTCAGATGAGAAAATAATAGTTGAGCTTTCTTCTTCTTCCTTCTACATTCTATTTCTTCCTCTGTTTAAGAACTCAGGAAGCCTTAAACTATGGAAATCTAACACCGGTAAGGCACAATAAGAACATTTTTGCACTAGATTTTCTATAAATTGAGAAATTTTCTTTCATTTTAAAAATAGAATTTATGAACTTTTTCTTCTACTACTAAATCTAGTATTCTAAGTGTACTTTACAGTCGTTGAGTGGCTCGCTGACACCAGCGTTTTGGATTTCAATATACTGGTGATTGAGATCATTTTACCTTGGGAGGACATATTCCAAATCAAACCTCGTATATTAGAGGGAAATAATTTCCTTAAAGGAACACTGTGCAATCAGTGGACTTGATCTTCTTTCTGTTTTTTTCAGATTCTGGTATTTGTTACAAATTTTAGATTTGTGAATTAATTTATCTTCTTCTATTCTTTTGTTCTTCACTGGTTCATTAAAATTTGGTTACTGAGTTTCTGCAATGTATGTTGGAAGCAGTAAAATTCTTAGACACACATCAACAACAATTCTTCTTTAAGAAATATATTTCATATACTATTTTTTGATTTGTTTCTGTTTCTAGTTTTGCTACTAGTTTTAATTTTCTAGTTGTGAAAATGTTCTTAAACTTTATTGTCTTACAAAGTTTTTCAAAGTTTTGTTTTAAGTATATTATAGAAATACAAGATGAACAACAATCTTAAGAAAATTATTGTACTGTTAGTATTTCTTGTATTCTACCATTGAGAGAATTTGATCATGGAAATAGAAGATAAATGTTTAGCAAAGTCGAAGTAAGAATATACCAGAAAAATAGGTGGTATTCCGATTAAAGATAACACCCAGTAACCTTCTTATTGTCTTACTAAGGAGGAAAATAATTTCTAAAGGTTAAAAATATTGATATTTATCATGTGTGTATTCGGAAAAAGTTCTGAAATCGTATATTATTTGAATGAATTTTTTTCAAATAGTGTTTCCTTTAAAATTTACTAGTTTGCAGAATGAGATATGCATATTTTTGTTTGATAAATAGTATATTAAAATGTTATAGTTGAAAGACTATTTGAAAAGAAAAACATTTATATGTGATTGTCTAAGTATGTGTGTTATTCTGTTTGGAGAAGAAAAAAAAGACTTTTGTAGTTTTGTACTCCATGTGAAATGTTAGTGTGTCTGATTTTTTGTAGACTAAAAACTTTTATGATTTTTATTCTGGATAAATTGGACTATGCAATTGGTTTGAAGAATATGAAAACTTCACATAATATGTCAGTGTTATACTTTTGATTTTCTAGAAACTTCAATGTTATATAGAAATAAATTGTATAATTTTTTTCCTTATTGTTAGTATTTAGAATACTAAGTGGTATGTGTATTTGTGATAGAGAAAAATTACCAGTAACTTAGAGTTTGTGATTTTATGCCTCTATGAAATGAACTTTGACATTGTGCAAACATTGTCAAAGAGAATTGAAGGAATCTTCTTGTAAATCTGCTGAAAGGAATCCTAATCCCTTAGAATTGATTTACACTGACATTTTTGATATGAAGTCAACATCATCTCATTGTGGAAATAGTATCTCATTACTTTTATTGAACAATTGCATTAGAAATGACTATCTATTTGCTGAATGGTAAGGATGAAGCAGTAGAAATATCTAGACAGTTTAATATCGTAGTTGAAAATCAGTTTGAAAGAAGATAAGTAGTGATAAGAATGGAGAGTATAAATCTCCTTGTGCAGAAATATGTTTGGAAAGTGAAATTATTAATCAAATTACTGTCTTATTCATCTCAATCTAATGAAAAACTAAACGTTGACAGAAATGACGGATGCACTATTTATAAGTTCGGATTTACCGCAAAACTTATGTGGAGGAACTATCCTTACTGCAAAAGGGAACAACAAAAAGTTGTCTTTTATTTTAAAAAGTGATTTTGTTTGTTCATAATACAATCTTTTACAATCAGTTCATTATGTTATGTTACTACAAGCGTGAGGATCTTATAGAGAAAGTCACGTTTGATGGATGGTTGGTTCCATACAAGGGATATTGGTGAGTGGTTATCAAATGGTAGCTTGAAGATAATTGATCTTAAATTGTCAAGACCCAATTTTTTTGCGGAAAGACCCTTCTAAAATTACTTTTAATGTCCTTTTATTGCTTTCCCGGTCGTCACTTTCAAGCTATCAAAATGAGAATATGTTAGTAATAAAAAATTGAAGAATGTATTTGAAAATAATTCTATTATTGACTCGGTATGGATATATGGAAGCATCTTTGAGTCTTTCCTTGCTGTGGTTGTTAATCTAAGTTAAAAACAGGTTAATGAATAGGCCAAACAGAATAGCTTCTCTGGGAATATGAAGATTAAAAGGTTAAAGAGCATATGCTAGGAAAGCTTTCTAAAGCCGTAAAAGAAAAGAAGTTGGAAGGGATTTGAGTTCATAAAGGCTCCTCACATTCTTTAATATGGAACATGACCTCTTGACTCCAACATTAAAGAAGAAAGGACCAAATTTTTTAATACTAGAACGGTGTGGTGTCGATTTGACACCATGTTAAAGGATGCTAAATAAACTTGCAAGCTTGAAATTAGCACCTTCTCTTTTTAGCTAAATCCATGTCTTTTATTTATTTTTTTATTTTTTTTGTTCTAGTACTGTACATATTACTCAAATAGTACATTACTCCAATAATATGAGATTGTTTTATAAAAAATTGTACCACCTTGTAAAAAAGTAAAAAATAAAACATGTTGAGCCCGTGCTGTACAATCTAGTATGTATATATATATATATATATATATCACCCATGCTCTGCACGTTTAAAAATATTATTTCATTTGATGTCGCTATACTCTATTATAGATAGTTTTATTCTCAAGTTTTATTCACTTGAGGGGACTTAAATCTAGAATTAGGATTAACTACTACAAATAATGATAATTTTGAAATAATTTTTTTGAAAGTACATATAGATTTGTTAAGACGTAACTGATGCATAAGTCGATATCTACATAGTGATTGTAATAAAAAAAAAGTCACAAGACAATTTCATAACATGTATACTCAACTTAGCACAAGACATAATTTTATAGCAGGCACACTCAGTTGTAGTAAACTTTGCTTCACACTATGTTGAAGAATCAAACATCTGCAAATCAATAAATGACAATTCCATAATGTACATTCGACTTAGCATAAGACATAACAGGCACACTCAGTTGTAGTAAATTTTGCTTTAAATTATTTTGAAGAATCAAACATCAGCAAATTAATAAATAAAAATTTATTAGAGGCAAGGAGAGTATGAGGAAACATTGTGCTTGATTCATGCCCACTATCATAGGAAAATAGTAGAATTTTCTACCTGAAATTTTAAATAATAAACACATTATTCAAATCAAACATATACATAAAAGATATAAGTTGATAAATCAATAAACATCAAACTATATATGTTATCTCATACCTTAACTTGTTGGCTCCCACGACTGTATCATACTTTATGCATCTTATTATTTGAAGAAAACATGGTTTAGCTTGCATAGTTGGTTCATTTCCCCACTGTAAGCAAAGAATTTTTTTGTCGAGTTCTGGTTTTGGTCATTCCAACAATCAGTGTTCTTTTCATGGACCCTCTGTTAGTTACATTGCTTCTTTGAAGCTAAACTTGCAAAATTATGACGGTGTTTGTCGACGTTTTGAGTCATATATATTTACGATGACTATTTTAATAAATGGCCCTTGGTGCCTGTTCAAATATCACAAAACATAAAAAATTTAATGTAAATATTAAATACTCTCTCTGTCTCTATTTACTTGTTCATATTTTCTGTTTTAGTTATCCCAATTTACTTGTTCATTTTGACAAATCAAGAAAGGACAAAAAAATTCATATTATACCCTCATTTAAATTTATTGAAATTTTTTAAATTTCAATTTATCTTTTTTGAAATCATAATTCATAAAGGTAAAATTATAACTTTATATTAGTATGTGTGTAATTTTTAAAGTAGACACATAGATAGGGATCGAAGGAGCATATAGTAGCAGACCTAGAATTCGAACGTTTCTGAAAATTATAATTCATTATTAAATAAAGATAAACTTTATATGTCAAAATTGCGACAATAGTATGTCTTAACCCCATGATTTTAAAATATAATGGTACAAAGCTACTAAATCGCAAAGGTTAGAACTTATACAACTTAAATTCTAGGTATGTCTCTAATTGGATTTTGAATTTACCAGTATATGTGAATTTGACACCACCGATGAAAGCAAATATGAAATATTCTAAATTAAACATCTCATTCATGCATTTTGTCAAACAAGTAATAGGCATTAGGCAACGCTTTACAAATAGGCATTGCGAGGTAAAAATTTGTCCCAAAATTACCGCACTCTACTATAAAAGAAGCATATATTTCATCATTATACGTGGCACACATTTGTAAAACTCTATAGCTTCTTGAAAATTAAGGATTAAAAGGTTGATAATTTAGGATAATTTGAAGGTATACCCAAAGTCATAACTCTTTTATTTAGAGTTATTTCAAATTTAGCATGTGAAGTAGCAGCCTTTAAATTCTTAAATATGTGTTGCTGATCTATCTTGTATCCTGTAGGATGTGAAACCTATTGTTTTTAGTTATAATGGAACAGAAACTGGTCAGTTTATTGCAGTAAGCAAGAATGTGAACATGAGAAAAAAGGGGGGTAATACTCACCATTCACCAAAACCCAAATTGAAACTTGAGTCTTCATTGAAATAAACCCAGTAAATTCTTAAGAATAAAGCACATAAGAAAAAGGAAAGGAAGGTATGAATTAGAGGAGAAGATGTAAGAAAGAGTTCCTAAAATTAGAATAATGTGTTGGCATTATACTTTAATGACATGTATATGGTGAAACCAGATTAAGACACGCAAGATAGACCTATTAAACACAATGAGTAAAATTTCTTTCAAAAATTTTGTACACATATTGATACTAATATTTGGACTCATACTTTTTATATAGTAAGCGGAATATATATATATATATACACACCATTTTATTAATTATCAAAATTAAATATTACAAATCTCAAAAAATATTTAAAAATGTTTGACTCAGTCCACTATGATCAACTCTATCAATTCCTTTGTATGCTTTCTTAATTTTTGGATTTCTAACTCCATCAATTCCTTTGTATGCTTTCTTAATTTTTGGATTTCTATATCAATCCAAAGGTATTTCCATTGTCGCCGACATCTTTAGTGATGTTTGCAAGATTGTATTTTGTTAATGTTTTCATAGCTTCATTGTATTTGCATTCAAGTAATAATGATAATATGGTTAAATCAAATTTGATTTTATCAATTGAAGAATTAAATAATAATATAGATAAGTTTGTGTGATCGAGTAATTTTTAAAAAGTGGGTCACATATTAGTGTTTGAATTTTATTTACCCTGATTTGTTACCACCATAAATAGGTTTTTCTTTTAGGAAAAGGTTTTTCTAGTAGGAAAAAGTTTAGGACTGTATAAATAGAGGTATGTTCCTTGTAACTTAATCAGCATTCACAATGTAGTTTTAAAGGCCTTGAGAATTTCGGTTAGAGGGGGAATTTATGGGTCACAAGCTTAATATGTTATCACTTGTGTGAACCTCCCATGTATTCTGAGAGAATTTGGTTGAAGTTGTTTCCCTCTGTATTTTGTACTCTGATATTTATAGTGGGCTCATCTCCTTTGTGGACGTAGGTCGATTGACCGAACCACGTTAAATCTGTGTCTTTTGATATATTTCTCGTTGTCTTCTTACTCGTGATCTTTCGAGGTTTGCTTTGCTAGCTTCCGCATTTGCACCTACTTATTTTCGATCCTAACAATTAGAATTAAATTTAAAGTAAATTTATGATTTGAAATATAAAAAGTTATTTTTACTATTTTAATTTCATTGTCATGGTCATTATCTATGAAAAGTGTTTCTTTAGCGTTTTAAAAATTAATTTATCCATTTTATTTTTAAATATTTCTTAATTTGCTTTTACTCAAAATTTAATAATAACATGTAAATTTAAAAAAAGAAATGATGAAAATAATGGTGTGCAATAATTAACTTAGTATGTGAGAATGATAAATTGAAGTTTATGATAAGAGTTGATTTCTTCTGAAAATAAAGAGAGTAGAAATATATAATTAGTATGTGAGAATGATAAATTGAAGTTTATGATAAGAGTTGATTTCTTCTGAAAATAAAGATCTGAAAATAAAGAGAGGAGAAATATACAATTAGTGATAACTAAATAGTGAAATACGTGTGTGGCATCTTTCGTGGAGATGTTTGAAGAGAGAAAGTGTAACGACCTGTTTAGCCGTTTTGAGCAACAGATGTTATTTCTGGAAAACTGGCAGAGACGACGGACATCCCGACGGACCGTCGTGGGCACGACGGACCGTCGAGGGGGTCTCGTTCCAAAACACTTAGAAATTCTAAAAAATGAGTACTGAAATCGACTCTCTGAACTTCGTAACGGAATGGCAGGACGGACCGTCACAAGTGTGACAGACCATCACAGACTCTTCAGAGAATTGAGTCTCTGAACTCTGTGACGGAGCAGCAGGACGGACCGTCGCAGGCACGGTGGGCCATCACAGACTGCGTAATCCCAGTCTGGGTCGAATTTCCTTAATTGTTTTGAGGGACGTTTTGGACTATTCCTGCGTTAATTATAAAGTTAGTGGGTTAATATTAATAAGTCTAATTACTTGGAGGTTAAAAGAGGTAACCTTAAGTTAATTAGTGGGTTATTATTGCCATCTTTTATTCTTAATTATATGCTAATTAGGGTAAAAGAAAGAGGGTTTGAATAAAGAAAATAGAAAGAACAAGAGAAAGAGAGAGAGAGTCGAACGAGAAAGAGGAGAAACGAAGAGAAACAAAGCTTGAGAAATTGCTTGCTTGATCACGAATCTTCGGTGGAGGTAGGTTATGGTTTTCATGCTATCCGTAGTAAACTCTTAATAGCGAATGATATGTGTTGGGTTTTATTGTAAAGTCTTCTATATGCTTAATTGTATGCTTGCATGAATGTGATTATATAATTGTGATGAAATAAGCATGATGAAGCTATTGAATCCCAAATCTTGATAAAACTCTAATCTCTTGTTAATGATGATGCCTTGGCATAAGAGAAGGCTTGATGAACTAAAGTAATGAGATTGATGATGCCTTGGTAAGAGAGAAGGCTTGATGAATTGATAGAATGAGATTAGGGGATCGAGTGTAACGAACCGATACGTAGATTTAGGGGATCGGGTGTCACGAACCGACACGTAGATTTAGGGGATCGGGTGTCGCAAACCGATGCGTAGATTTAGGGGATCGGGTTTCACGAATCGACTCGTAGATTTAGGGGATCGGGTGTCACGAACCGACACGTAGATTTAGGGGATCGGGTGTCACGAACCGACACGTAGATTTAGGGGATCGGAGTGTCACGTTCCGATACATAGTAGTAGGGGATCGGAGTGTCACGTACCGACACAAGAGGAATAAAGATAATGAATCTTGAAAGATGTTAATATACTCAATCTAATGAACCTAATTCCCAAACGAGTATGGTATTGAGGCGTGAGTCCTCATGTATGAACTTGGCGGTACTTATTGATGATTATAGTACTTGTGTTGCTACATGTTGAGTATTGTAGTCGATTTATGATATTACTTGATATATACTGTTTTCTATTTTGAGTTGGCCGATGATACCTACTCAGTACTTGTATTTGTACTGACCCCCTACTTTTATGTTTTCTTCTTGTTTATTTGTGGAGTGCAGCAAACGTGCCGTCGTCTTCAACTCAACCGCAACTCTAGCCAGTCTTTGTCACACCGGATCTTCAGGGTGAGCTAATGCTTCTAGCTTGGATTGGATCTTCTTCCTCATGTCTTTATGCCTTGAAGTTTCGGCATGGACTAGCTTTTACTTATTTTAGCTTTTAGAATACTCTTAGTTTAGTCATTTGATCGTAGATGTTCTTGTGGTGATGACTTCAAGATTTTGGGGAATAATAGATGTTGAATTTTAGAAGTTATTGAATTGGTTTTTATTAATGAGGTTAAGTCTTCCACATTACTTTCTGTTGATATTATATTGAAAATGTTAAGGTTTAGATTGGTTGGTTCGCTCACATAGAAGGGTAAGTGTGGGTGCCAGTCGCAACTCGGTTTTGGGTCGTGACAAACTTGGTATTCAGAGCATTAGGTTCGTTGGTCTCATCACACAAGAACGAGTCTAGTAGAGTCTTAAGGAACGGTAGGGGGACGCCTTTACTTTTCTTTGAGAGGCTATAAGACTTTAGGAAAATTTCATTCTTTCATTCTTTCTTTCGTGCTATTACTTGGGTCCAATTGGTATCTAGGTGATACAAATTGGTATCTGACCATCTTCACTCGATTTCGCAGATGGTTAGAACTAGAGCAACAACCACGCCAACATCAACATCAGCGAGACAAGATGCATCTGAGCTAGCCACTGAGACTGTAGCTCAAAGAGGAGCAGTGGCAAGAGGCCGCGGTAGTGGTCGTGGGAGGACGTCCTCTAGAAGAAGAGGAAGAGCACCTAGCCCATCTGGTACTAGGGCGGTGACTCCTCCACCGACTGAAGAAGTAGTAAGAGAGGGGGAGGATGGGGAGAATAAACAAGTGCAGAATGAGGAAATGCCACCCCAACCTACCCCAGAGATGATCAATCAGGTTCTGGCTTATCTTAGTGGGTTATCTGATCAAGGCCAGACACCCCAGTGTTTTCTGCACCAGCACCTCAGGTTCCGGAGGTACAACATGTGACTACTATGGCTCCCCGTATGGATGCCTCATTAGATATAGGCACGTTTCCTCGTCTGACTACGGGGCTCATAATGACAAATGATCAGCATGAACTTTTCTGTAAGTTCTTAAAATTGAAACCTCCAGTCTTCAAGGGTGCTGAATCTGAGGATGCCTACGATTTCCTGATTGACTGTCATGAGCTACTACACAAGATGGGTATAGTAGAACGGTTTGGTGTTGAGTTTGTGACTTATCAGTTTCGAGGGAACGCCAAAATGTGGTGGCGGTCACATGTTGAGTGTCAACCGACAGAGGCACCACCTATGACTTGGGCATCATTTTCTAGTTTGTTATGGAGAAGTATATCCCCCAGACTTTGAGGGATAGGAAAAGAGATGAGTTCTTGAGCCTAGAGCAAGGTAGGATGTCGGTTACTGCATATGAGGCTAAGTTTCGTGCACTATCCAGATATGCCACCCAACTTTGTTTCAGTCCACAAGAGCGGATTCACCGTTTTGTGAAGGGGTTGAGGTCAGAATTGCGGATTTCAGCCCTACAGGTAGCCGCTACGGCAAAATTCTTCCAAGAAGTGGTAGATTTCGTGGTAGAGGTGGAAAGAGTGAAACCAAATGACTTCACCATGGCATCAACATCAAAAAGGTTTCGAAAGGGAGGTGAGTTTAATGGTTCTTACTCTAGAGGACAGGGTTCCGGAGGTTAGTCAGTCCGACCAATTCAGTCTTCACTACAAACTGTAGTTGGGGGTCCACCTCAGACCGGCCAACACTTCTTTGAGAGACCTATGCTTGACTCTAGAGAGTGTTATGGATGTGGGGAGACTGGACATATTAGGAGGAATTGTCCAAAATAGAGTTATAGACCCCCAATAGCTAGAGGTAGAGGGGGTCATGTTAGAGGCCGTTATTCTGGAGGACGTGGTGGTCGAGGTAATGGTGGTCACCAAAACGGCCGGGGTGATGGGAAAACTGGAGCCACTACATCACAACATGGTATGGGCAACGGGCAGACAAACGAAAGGGCCCATTGTTATGCTTTCCCTGGGAGATCTGAAGCGGAGACATCTGATGCTGTCACCACAG